GGACAGGTCACCAGTCTATCACAGGGCTACACTTAGAGACAGACAACCAAGCACACTCACATTCACACCTACGGACAATTTAGAATCACCAGTTAACCTCAACATGTTTTTGGACTGTGGGAGAAAGCTGGAGAATCTGAGGAGAACATGTAAACTCCATGCAGAAAGATCCCAGTTGATGTCACCGCGATGCGAACCGGCGACCTTCTTGCTGAGAGGCAACAGTGCTACCAACTGTGCCACCATGTTTTTGCATGTATTTAGTTATGTATTTATTTACAGCGCACTTTTTCCTACATTTAGCTCAAGAAACTTTATCAGGTGTCATTCTGTTTCTCATGTGAGTGAGCTGTTTCTTTCAGGTTAGTTAAATAGAGTTTTGCTCCAACACCAGACAAACACTTTGCAGTTTACACATAATTTAGTATTTGCTCAGCTGTTTGTTTTACATCATATTTGCGTGTTGTGTTGCTGCTTAGCATTTGCTAACCGGTAACCAGTGGAAGTGGAGGATGATGCAAGAGGATTCCGTCCTCCTCTATAGATTTCATTTGAAGCTGTTCGTAATGTTACCTCAACAGTTTAGCGAGACCTAAAGGGATATTCTGATGTTTTTCAAGTTTATTATAGTCACATGCTCGTATGTGGACTGAAGGTTTATTGTGAGGAACTTTACAAAATACCAAACTGATGTAACTCACCCAGCCATATCAACTTTGAATGAAATTTAGAGTATTTTAGAAATATATTTGGAGCAAATACCAAATTTGTATTTTAACTTTCAAGAGAGCAGCAAAATCTACAGCAGCCAACAAGTCTCTTCCCTGAGAGCATTGGGTTATTGCATGAAAACAGCATGTAAAAACAAACTCAGCTGTAAACTCATAGGTTATCGTTTATTGATATGTCACTCATGGATTTATAAGCAGTTAGTATTATATTGAAAATCAAAATGTTTGTGCCTTTGTCCACTGATTCCAGCATTCCTTGCACATGTGTGTGTTTCATAAGCAGGATGAAAAATAGAGAGCGTTGGTTGTTATGAGGAAGGAGTTTCCAGCTGAAGAATTTTTTTTGTCAAAACATGAAGCGTACATTTCAAGTTTGTTCAGACGAGTTCACAGGCTACACTTTCAAAAGGGCTTTCTTGAAGAAAAGTTTTATATTCGCTGTGGTATTAAAAAATAAAAAGCTGTATGTCTTGTATTTCTCTTTGAGAAAGATGCTGGATGAATTCTTCCTTTCTCCCTGTTGCAATAGATTAACAGATAGTTTCCGTGTTACTTGTTTTCCTTTTAAATGCCATAAGAGTGACATCTCTTTTCTCACAGTAACTTCTGCCAAACAATCCCAGTAATATATTACATTTTCTTAGACTGGATATAAGTGGAGACTCAGACTCAGGAGTTTTGACAAAGGTTTAGGTCAGTCAGTTCACATTGCAGGATTTTAGCGAAAGCAGAGGGAGATTCATCAGCGCCAAAATGATAGAAAATAAATGTACTTACTGACCAGTTTTGCTAATTTGGGGTTAATTTCTTGAAGCATTTTTGGTTATCAAATGGTCAGAAATAGCAGAAAATGCTGAGATTTCAGTAAAATACAACTACACACACTCACTGACTTTACCAATCATGATTACAGCCCTGTGTAGTCACACACACACACACACACACACACACACACACATTTAGGCTGATAAATGCATCTTCATAACTCCTCTTTTAGCTGCATTTGTAATCACGCTGAAATTAAAGTTGTTGTTTTTCTTTCCACTTTAAAGTGTTGCACTGCATTTGAGGTTGTGGAATTTTAGGTCTGTATTGTTTCAACCTACAGGATTTTTTTTCCCAAATGAAGATTGTATTTGAGTATTCAAGACAGCATGTCAGTGGAGTCTGGAGTTCGAAAGATCACTTTGAAATATTTTCCCAGAAATGATCATTCTGAAAGCTGATCTGAACCAGCTGTAGAAGAAAGCATAGATGAAAGGATTCAGCATTGAGTTGGACAGTGTGAGCCAGTTTAGTGTTTCAATCACAGCGATCGGTGTTACGTCGTACGTTAAAGGCTGAAAGATGATACAGAGAAAGTAAGGAGTCCAACACAACAAGAAAACACCCATAACTATAGCCAGAGTTTTGGTGGCCTTCCTCTCCATCCTACTAACAGCTGCTCCAGACTTTGTTGTGCTCTGGATGCTGTTTGCTTGTTTCTGTGCAACCAGGAAGATTTTCAGGTAGATGCTGAGCATAATTATGACTGGGATATAAAAGGAGAAAATACAAGCGAGCGTGGTTGATATTAGAGCGTCCATTAAACAGCTGTCTTCACATTTTCCCTGATTAAAACCTGCAACTATGACACCAATTCCAATCAGAGCGGCGTCTCCCCAGCTCACCAGGATCATCACGGCAACGACGCGAGAGCTCATTTTGCTTTTGTAAGTCAGAGGCTGACACACTGCGTAGTATCTGTCGATAGAAATGCAGCACAGGTTCAGAATAGACGCTGTGCTCAGCGTGACATCGAAGCAGCCTCGCACTTTACAAAACAAACCTTCGTAGTACCAGCACGAGGTCACGGTGAACGCCATGCTGGAAGGAAAAACTAAAACCCCTACAAGCAAGTCAGCCACTGCCAGAGAGAGGATGAGGTAGTTTGTAGGGATGTGGAGCTGTTTGAAATAAATGATGGAGATTATTACAAGAAGGTTTCCACATATTGTGACCACAGACAGTGAACCAAGGAACAGATATAACAACACACATGTTATGGAAGGGTTGCTTGTAAATGTGTAAGACTCATTGTTTGATTCATAGCAGGGATGTATGGCACTAACAACAGAACTGCTACTGACAGTCAACTCTTGATCCATGCTCTCTCTGCAAAATCAATCTGTAACATGAAGAAAATGTGAAAGAGGTTTAGTTCAGCATTTAGTTCACGTACAACCACAACAAATAATTACTTTTTTTTTTTAAAGAAAAGTATTTGTCAGTTTTTCTACTTACCTGCTCGTACATTGGTTTAGTTCATACAAGAGCAGCGTTGTGTCCTTAGACTCTGAGCCACTGTGGAGGATGTTTGGACTTGGTTTTGTAAGTCACTACCTCCGTATCATAATTAATGCACACTGTGGTCACCCAATCAGGTGTAGGTATTAAAAATACAGAATAATGAGGAATGATACGTAGTGTGTGTGTCAAAAATCTAGTTTTGACTGTAGTAAGACATATGAGGTTTGGCTAGTATTGTGTTGTGACCAATGGCAATCGCACTGAGGAATGTTGTTTTTTGTTTTTGTTGTTTTAAAAATGTTTTTTAACAGAATCTGGTGCAAATGCTTTGTTTTTTGGTGATTTTTAAAATGATACATGTAAAATAAAGAGATTTTAATAAAACCTTGCAATTTTAAGCTTAGATTTGGGTCATTCTTTTGATGGAACCACCTGGTAGAAAGTTAAAAGTCCAACAGTTTCTTGCGGTTTTACAGGTTCTGGTTCTTATAATTGGTGCCATTTTAAATTTTTTTAATGTAAATTTTAATTACTTTTTTTTTTTTTAGTGGTGTGACACAATTTTAAAAAATAAATCAAATTGACTAGAGTCTTTGTAATTGACTGCAATTTATCCAGTTTTCATCAAATAGCAATATTTGACGCAAAGTTTTTCAGTTCAATAAATTTTGGTTGACGACTGAATCAAAGAATATACATACACATGAAGCTAGACAGCACAAACTTTTGTTTTTCATCTATACTTATCTGTGCCAATTTGGCAAACTTTGGCAAAATTGCCTCTGCGGAAACGTAGCATTAGGCCTTGATTAGAAAAAAATCTTTCCTCCCAACAAGCCAAGCAATGTGATCTAGTATTCCATCACTACTTACCAAACTTTATTGCGTGCTCAAAAATGTCCAAAAAAATTATTCTGATGTTCACATCTGGAACAGAAAAGTGTAAAAATGTTTCCTGTTTCCAAAATCTTTTTTCTCAGAGACAGATTATTGTGTTATAATGTAATAAGGTAATATTGATAACATCCACATTGTTTGCACAATTTCTACTTATTACAAAGGCAGCAGGGTAAAAGTCACAAAAGATTATTTTGTGTGTTTGTCAGAAATGTAGGGATCGCTTTGTGCTTTGCTATGACTTTACAGATGTTACAGAGTTTGACACCACAGTCTAATAACTTTAATTACACAACTTCATCTACAAAAGTTTGGTACAAATTGCTTTAAATTCACAAAAAGTGCTTTACTTCTTGAAAATAACAAAGCTGCTAAAAGCTACCTCGGTGATAGCTTTGGCAGTGCACACAAGATCAGGAGAAGAGGTAAGGCGCACAATAGTTTTTCTGTAAAGTGTAATTATGGTCTCTCCTTGTCTCCTTGTCCCAGACTGAAACTCTAAACTAATCTTCAAGCGTTAAAAACAGGTTCTTAGTTTGTCGTGTTGCACATAATGACAGTTTGCACACAACTTTCAAAGAGTTCTTTTTTAAAAATATGTTGTTTTTATTTAAATAATTTCCCTGAAGCAGAGTCAGTGTCTAGTGTTTCCTACATGCAGTGTGTATTTGTGTTTCTGTGTTCATTAATAAAGCACACATGCCTCCAGAATATTTCAAACAGAGAAGGTCAGAGCAGCTTGGAACTGATACAATCACATAGACATATCTGGCCAGAAGCGATCACTCTAAAAGCTGACCTGGAGCAGCTGTAAAAGAAAACACAGATGAAAGTGTTGAGCAATGAACGTGACAGTGTGAGTTAGTGCAGCGATAAATCACAGTAAGAGCATCAGTCGTCTTGATGCTCATTTTCATATCCGGTTTCGTACCTATTAACCCCTTTAGATGGTCTAAATACGCATTAATGGTTGTTTACTGTGGGAGGACTTTGACTTGGTAGTTATTAGTTCCTTTTTCATTACTTTAATGATATAATTCTGCTTCATGTGAGATGCAGCAACAACAGAGATGCATACATGATTGCGATTTCGACCCTGAACCAGGAACTGAAAAGCTCCCAAACTAAGCGAGCTTTGTTTCACATTTTCACTATGAACTCTGTGTAATTTAACACGGTGGCTTGAGTTACCAAACTGACCCAACAGGTTGTGTTCTAGTGCAGTTGGCCTCGGCAACCTTTGTTTGTACGAGGTTTCATCTTACCTATTGTAATCCACGTTGGATACCTTTGTACGGGAACTTCATGAAACAGTGCCAACATTTTTGGAAAATCTTTAGTCTGGCAGGCGTTACTCATCAGCAGATGACTAGGTATCTTAACCACCATTTGTCATCTCCTGTTGTCATCTCACCGCCTTGTGGGTTGATAGTGGTGGCCACATTTTTCACAAGGTTTCCTTTGTGTTTTGCATGGCCATTATCTGCCTTCCTCGGTTCAGCCTTGTATCTCGCTGCCTA